AAGTACATTTTAGATTATCTTTTGTCAGAATACTAGGAGACAGTTATTGCTGAGGATTTGACTCAGCAGCCTGTGCATCCTGAAATCCTTTGCATCTGAGAGCCTGTCTTAAGACACTTACACATTGTAGGCTTCTGAGTGCCAACATCTTATCCAGCTCCTGTCTTCCAATTCCTTTGTCTGCTTTGATTGACATCCAGCCTAGAGAACTCTCATGCTTGCTTACTACTTTGCAAAATGTGAGTTTGTTCTAATTCTACCATTCCATGAGTCTAATACAATTATCTTATTCTGATCTTTAGATTTTTAAAGGTATCTTTCTCTACCCAATTTTATGTTCTCATATGTTGAACCACACATCCAGCAGATACAGCCAGTGGTTAGGGATGATGTGAATTGCAGTACAAAACATCAGGAGGGCACCAGATTGGTAAATACTGGTCTAGACTATGCCATTCTTGAAGATGTAGAATAATGCTAGGAATGTCTTTTAGTGAATCTGTTGCTTCATCATAATGTGATGAAGGGAAATAGACAGAACAATTCTGAAACAGAATATACTTTCTTCCAAGTAGGTCCTGCAATACTTCAAGTGATGGAGTGTGGATTGCTTCTGGTCACCATTCCAGCTACTCTATCCTATTTCTTCTCTCTACCCCACCACCATTTTTCTATTTCCCCCCCAAAAAGTCAGGTAGTATTATGTGCCCACTGGGCATGCTCAATTCTCATCAGGCTGTTTTTCCCCCTCTTGAGTTTGAAGTCCCTCCCCCACTTCTTGGGAGTGATAGACACAATTGTGCTAAAAACAAACTGCATTAACATAATTGATATTGCTCTTAGTGTTTCTTGGCAGCCTTCATTTTCCTTCATGGGGACACTTTAAAATAGTTTCCAGTGTGTACTGGGAAATGACCAATAAATAGATTCTTAATTGTATCCTTGTTTATATTTATCCCTCTCTTGCTTCCTTTCCATTCTTTCCATTCCATTCTTCCACCCACCCTCAGTCCCTTCTCAATCAACACTTGTGCCACTGGTTTATTATGGCACTTTTGGGTGTTCCCACCCTATGTTTTTTATCCTAAGCATTTTGTGGTATCTGCACACCAAAGGATTACTCCAAATTGATTGATTCCTCCTCCTCGTGTGGTGGTGGTACAGTTTTTTCTACAGCTCCATAAGCATGGCAGGACTCAAATCAGAAAGAGAGGGTTTCTTCGATATGTGTCTTCCATTCTGGAAGGATAGGACATTTTCTAAAAACTATTCTTACTCTCCTGTATAAGCTTACAAAAATATTTCACTGGTATCAGTGTCTTATGAAAATGAGTTTACTGGAACTTCATCCAGCATTGATATTCAGTTATGTTGAACTATGACTGTAGCTCATCTAATCATGAGATGTCTAACATTGTATTTTTAGATGTCTAACATTGCAAGACTAATTGTAGAGGTCCACTTTTATTATGTTAATATCCAGGATCTTCTAGAAATGGCAATGCAATGAGTGCACAACAGCTTTTTGGGGGGTGGGGTAGGGTAACAGATAGCTTAAAAGACAGTTAATTTATATGCAGATTCTAAATCTCCAGATCCGTTAAAGGCTGGATAAATGATGATGGGGCGGAGGGTGGAGGTTGCAGAGATGAAAAGCCAATACATTGTATCCAGTCCATTAAAACAAGAAGAAATAGAAAAGATACCTTGATAAGTGTTCTGCCTGTGTTAACCTTGATGGCTATTATCGGGGGAGGGGGAGGGGGCATGCTTCTATATCTATTTCATTGGCTTAGGCTTTTTCATGCTGAAAGAAATCAATACTTTGAGTCGTTGGATGACAGAAGCATCACTTCAGAATTGAAGGTGGCTGTCAGACATTGTCATTGGTTGACTTTTGTTTGCTATTGAGGTTTTAAGCTTTCATTTTTCTAAGTCTTATTCAGGAGCTTTGGAAGATTTCCCTGGGTGGCATTTTTAGTCCAGACTTTAAACTGAAGGTTAAAGGTCAAGTGCAAAAGATCTTACAGAAGAACATGACTGTTTCTTCCATTTACTGAAATATGTGGTTGCAGATGAGAATTTGCATTTGCAGGTGCTATGTTTTTATTTTTCCTTTATGTCTTTTTAGTGGCACTCTAAGGGAATATATTTGACAGAGTTGGCAATCATCAGCTTGGATCTAGATTTTCTAAATAAACAAACATGTGCCTTTGTATTATAAAGTGGATTTTAGGAATATTCATTGTTATATCCCAACTTGAGGAATTGAACAAATATAATAGATGTATTTGTTTTCAAATGTATATTTGGTCTGCTTTTGCTCAAGAGTAAGTCCCTTCTTCAGTGGGCCAACAGAATCGTTGGTGTATTACTGAAATCAGTCAAAGGACAAAATGGTCTTATTTTCCCACCCAATCTGGATTGTTTTGCTAGTTTATCTTCTTTAACTTCCCTTTTTGCAACATATTTTATATGGTACAGTTTTATACCATTTTCTGATAAGTTAGAACAACAACATATAAACAATTAAATGATGCACCAAGCTTGCAGTTTTTTATTTCAAATGCCAATCATAACACCATCATAAAGTGCTATTTGCTTTTGCTGCCCTGTTGCCATCATTAGCTACTAATTTCTGGGTGGTCATTTGGGGATCCTGAACCTTGGCCCCAAGATTCAGCCCAGCCATGATAAGAACTTATCTGCTGAGAACAGTTAAGTGATTGTTGATATGAAAGGGTGAAACAATAATATTTTGCTGAACAGTTACGTCTATTTCTTATCCGCAAGTTATCCTTTGATACTGTAGTCACCAAGAGCTGATCATGTGTATGTGGGTAGCCACTGACTACCAGTTGGTTCCTCAATGCTTGTTCAGTTTTGTTCCATCTAAAGTGGGTTGTTCAAACTTCTTTTTTAAATTCCAAATGGAATTTAGTATTTTAAGGGAGCAGTCCTAAGGCTTGCCCCCAGCTGACCACTGCACTGCACCTCCTTGTAGCCAGCATGGAAAGTACTGCACTGGCTGCCCCCACCTCAGGAGGCTTCAGAGGGAAAACAATGGGGTGGGAGCTGGTAGCCAGGAAAGGAAGAAGACTGGGGCTGCGAATTTACACAGATTCCCATCAGGGCTGCAGCTTCTTTCCCTCCCAGCACTAAATTTAGGGGTTCAGCAGTGGCTTAAAGAAAATTCTGGAAACAAAGTGCGCTGGAGGCCACTAACACAACACCTCACTCCTCTCACATGATTCTCAGAGGACTTCAAGTTTTGAGTTGAACATGCTTCTGCCTTAGACTGTAATAAGACTGTACCTTTAAAAGTATTACTTCTGCATTTGGTTTCTAAGACTGTGTTCTCTTACTTGTACTGTGGATGATAATTTAATGCTTTTAATTTGAAAATATGTTGGATTCCTTTGTGTGGCTAAATTCAGACATACACCAAACCATGATTTTCATTAATTTGTTTTAGGGCTCATGGTTGGAACTTCAGCTATGCATGCAAACCATACTTTATTGCTGCTTGACTGTTTTGGCTTTCAGTCTGCTTCCTTTTCCATTTTCTCTGGTATAAGAGTCTCTGAAAGAGAAACAATAGCTTTCAATATTCAAATATTATACCAAATCCATAGTTAGTACATACTTTGTAAGACCATTTCAAGCCATGCTTTTAATTTCCTAACTGATCACAAACCATGATTCAATTCAGACATCAAAAAAGAGGGTTGTGTATACAGCAGGGATGGATAGTGCTTATACTTAACACTTTCCTTTTTTCCTTGTTAGGGAGAAGCCAAGGCAGACTAGTGCTCTGTCCATCAGCAAAGTTTAGTCTGGTAATATTATAGAGGGATGTCATAGTTCGTATCTATTGAGAAGATGTAGTGCTATCCAGAATAATATTTTTGTCAATTTTTTTCTAGTCATAGAACAAACAAAATAAATTCTGTTCCTCTTTGTTAATCTTGAATAAAACTACTGCACACATGCATATAACTGGACAACTGCACTTCTCCCAACTCTTACATGTTATTGCTTACAATATACAAAGGGTATAATAAGTTACTTTCTGCAGACTTACTAAAACCATACAGATATTTGGGGTGTGGTCACTTTCTTAAACTTAGTTCATAGCAGAACTATGTACTATGTGCTAGTATTTGAACAAATTGCTCACTCCTTTATAAACATATTTTCTGAGTTTTATAATGCCATTCATATGCAAAGCAAAAAAGATTCTGATGCTTTAGTTGCAAAGGTTGATGTGCTTTTGTATGCACTGTCTGGCATTTGGCAAGGCTGAAAAGTGGAGTCAAATGTCTTATCTTGTACAGTATGTATAAGTACACATCTGAATAAGAACTGCTTTCCCCTCTCACTCATATATATTCCATTTGCTATAAACCCATGATAATTTCTTGAAATTTTCAGGTTTTCTTCATTTCCTTGTTCAATTACATTTTTGCTTCTCAGAATGTTTAGAAAGGATTTATATTGACTGAATAATCTGCATTTTAACAAATTGCTTAAATGACCCTTCTACAAGCTACTTAGTAACTCATTATTTAGCAGAGACACAGACAGAGAAAGGATTGTTTATTGTCCTTCTGCCTTTCAAGAATATCCCTTATGGAATTTTCTAAATTTATGACATACAAATGTATTACTTGATGTTTTAGTGTATCGCACTCTGCATAGTTACCTGGGAATAAGGTCCATTGAACATAGTGGGGCTTAATTCTGAGTAAACATACAAGCAATTTCTCTGTAGGTGTTCTATAATGTGGCTGGAACTACAGTTCTGGTTTGTAGGGGAAATTGTTATTTTTTCAGTAGCCAGTATTTTAAAAAATGCTGTGTTATGTGTTGTGATATTGTGCACTCATTTGTTCTATGTATTCTGTATCTTTTTCGTTGCAGAAATTTGACATGGAAAACATGTAAGAAATATTGAGTATTTAAACTGTGTTTTTACTTTCCCCTCACCCCTTCTTTAGTCACTGTGCGCCCAGTATTCTGCAGATAAACGAGAGAATGAGAAGATGTGTGATCATTTAATAAGAGCAGCCAAGTATCGAGATCATGTGACAGCAACTCAGCTGATACAGAAAATCATCAACATTCTGATGGACAAGCATGGGGCCTGGGGCAATTCTGCAGCAAG